CCAACGTGTCGCTGGCTGTTTGCCTAGCTGGGACAGACACATCTCCTGGATAAGCACCGCATCCCAAACACAGCGGTGCATTGGGAACAGGGCACGTCTCCATGTATGAATGTAGGAAGCGAACAAAGCCATTTCAAAACTCACAGGAAGAAATCCAATTCACAACTTAGGCTCCTGGTAGGATGCAGCACTGGAATTCTGTATTCTTGAATTCCATGGAATTCTATGACCATAAGTCATTTAACAACAACAGCTCTTGAAACACTAGCTGAGGGAAGTGGCATAAGCCAATTTCCAACAGGAACAGCCCAGTAAAATCTGTTGAGCAAGAACTGTAAAACTGATGCTTAAGTAAGATCAGGAGGCTTGTGTACAGTTTGAGACACTACTGAATATTTGTTTCTCTTTTTAATTTGGTTGTGTTTGACAGTTGTAAGCTTTTTTTTATTCTTTCCTGTTTGCCTTGGATGCTTTTAAAGCTATGCAGATTAATATTTGGGAAAGGTTCTGGTACTTAAGCATCCTGTCCAATGCATGCTTATGTAAATTAAGATTCCCCCAGTCTCTCCAGTACGTTTTGGATGATGGCTGCAGCATTTCCATGTTTTCTACTGAGTTATATAACAGCAAAAAATGCAGAATCACTTTTCAGAGCTAGCCACAATATGCTGTATCTGCAAAAATTGTACACAACTAAAGGAGCTAATGCTCTCCGTTTTCAAAGGCGTAAAACGATGAGAGAGATCAGTCCCATTCAAAGTCAGTGGTGGAAAGAACACCTAATTCCCCCTAACATCTTTGAAAACCTCTTTGGAGAAAGAAAGAGCAAGTAAAAAGAGGGGCAAAGTGAAAAAAATAAGTAAGAACAAATGCTAATGGATTGTTGAATTTAGGACTTGATTTTCACATATGCAGTGGCCTCTTGACCACTTCTGCAGTGTGAAGGGATTTCCATGCAAATAATGATGAGCTTCACATAGTAGGTGTTTGTTTTGCATAAGAGCTGTAGCTCTGCACTTCAAGGTTGCAAGAAAATGCACTTTTAAAGGCACTTCTAATGAGTAACTGCTGCAATAATACAGTGAGCAAGGTGAATAGATAAGTCTTTTTGGGCATAGATAAGTCTTTTTGAATTTTTTTTGAAAGCTAGCATGGCCTCAGTAAATTCCCTGCACATGTATCTAGGATACGTTTAAGTTTAGGGAGCATTTGTCACTTGATTTTGTAAAATGATTGTTATTTGAAACTGTCTTTACCTAAAGGTAAAAAAAAATCTAATACAGCCCTTCTTTTGCTATTTTGCTAAAACATCTGTTTCAAGCTTCTGAAAAACATCAATGTATTAAAAATCACTTCGAGTTTTGCTTATCTGCGCAGTGTTCTGTGTTTAAAATTAAAGCCTTATTGATATATGTGTATGGATATGTGTGCATATTTTTATGCATATGTGTGTGTACGTATGTATTGAGATGTAACTTGTAGGAGATATTTATAATTAGGTCTAATTCGAATGATTCTAAATAATCACTGGCTTTATACCTTATTCTTTTTAGAGATACTATTTTATAAAATTAAACAATATCAGGCAATGCTTTGAAGCGTTACGAATCACAAAATGTTATGCCAACTTCCAGATGTGGTTGCCTGTTTCGCCTTAAAGAATCCTGGCCTAGGTAATTTGTTATATTAAAAAAAAAGTTTTTTAATGCATTACTCTAATTCAACGCTCTACTGATATGGGCATTCTAAACATATTGTCATATAACATATCTCTACATATCTCTAAAACAGCTCCACATGAGGTTGAGTCCTGGACCCAGTCATACTGATAAATATCTGCAGAGCTATTGTGAATTTGTAATGAAGAATTTGACTTAATGGAACTGCACAAGTCTATGCAGAGCAAACTGATATCCAAGTTCCTTAAGCAATTTTTTTTTCTTGGTGGGAGTTCCATCGTATGTGTTTTAAGAGAAAATTAAGCGTGAAATGCCTATCACTTTCAGAAAGAAAAATTCTTCCTCAAAACTCAACTTGCTAGAAGCTAGAAAAGCTCGGTTTTCAAAGCACCACAACGTTTCCAAACACTTCTAGAGGAAGATGCTCAGCATCAGTTTAAAGAAATGACTAAAGTTTTTAGTTAAGGACAAAGCCCAGACATCAGATATCAGGACTGCAAGAAGAATGCCTGCAGAGGTGTTGATCTATGGCCTTAATAGTGCAGCTTGGAGAATCTGAATTGGCTGAAAAGATGTGCCTTTGCTTGGATTCAAAACTCTCTTCATAATGAAGTTTTAGTTCTTTTGTGGTAATGATGTTTCAGCATTGCCAAACTACATGTTCAGGCCATAACATCTAAACCAAAATTCAGTGGATCAATCTTTTGCCTATATTAGGTTTTGAACCAGGTCTATAATCAAGTGATTATTAACACTTTTTTTTTTTTTTAACATTAAAAAACCTATAAGTGTAGTTTCAGCTCCTACTGTTGTTCTGTCTCAAAAAGCATATGGACATTTCTCAGGTGAATTTTAATTTCATGGAAACATTGCTTTCAGTCTAAATATCTCATAAAATCTTATTTTTACAATGTGTGCATTATGATCCAACTTACATTTTACAATAGTATCCTTAGAAATCCCAGGCAAGCTGGAAATAAAAGTCATGTGGTGATACCTAGATGGACAAAATAATTTTGATACGTACAATCACTGTTCAGAAATGAACATAAGGAGAGTATGGGAACTACTGTGGCTGTTGCTCTGTACTTCAAAACTGAAAGGGTTCCCATTCCCCTTTTCTGTAATTGTTCTGTAATTGAAATATTAGACTGAATTGTATTATGCATCTCTGAACACTGAAGAGACTAACAATACAATGAATTTGTATTAGCCTTTGCCTTTATATTTGAATTTTTCTTAAAAAGAGGTAACCAGTTGCCTCACATCTCCAAAGGATTCGCTTTTCTATTCTACCTGTTATTTGAAAAATGGATACAAATTGGAAGGGTTTCAGGGAACAGCATCAAAAATAACTAGACTGAAATGAATGGCTTATATGTAAACAGTAGAGTAGCTAGTTTAGGTGTAAAGCAAAATATGATAATAATACAAATATTTTCGTGGTAGTGCCAACAAGGAAGGAATGAATGGAATTACATACTTTGGAACAAAGATTGTAGGGATAATGGTTTCATGTTTAAAGAGCAAAAAGTAGGCCCAGTACAGAGATAAAGTCAGAACGTTCTCAGACTTCTTGGATGGAAGCAGGCTGCTGAACAGCCTCCCAAGGAGCGACTGGTCTCACTACTTGCGGGGGCTAAACTTGCACTGGAAGCTGACAGACTGCAGGTACCTTGATGCATTAGCAGAATTTCATTCCAGAGAAAGCCCAAATTTCTGCTTTTCTTCTCTTTATAAATGGATGGAGAAAAATCAGTGGCCTAGAAGCTTTTTGAAGTGATATTACAGTTGAGAGGAGATTGGATGAGCAAACATGAATATGCAAAAATCTTCAAGCAGAGCATTTTTGCTATGATCTACTTAATAGATGCTCTTGATTCTGTTGTACTTGGTGCGTAATACCTCTCCTGGTTATGTCTGTATCTGTTTTTAGCTGAAAGTTGTATCTTCAATAGCACACATAATGATAACCAAAGCAAGCAAAGAAATAATACCTTTTAATTCACAAGTTCTGCTTGTAATAAAATAAGCCCCTTCATCTCTCTTCCCCTTCCCCCCTCAAAAAAGGAGGTGAAAAAGGAAAATAAAAAGGAAAGGAAAACCTGCTTGCAAATAGGCTACTGACCCAAATCACCCCCATTTCACAGAAGGGCAAGATGGTTTGTATTGGACTGATTATTTGTTTCTTTTGGGCTTGTTTTATTTTTGTTTTTCATAGGTGGCAAAATTCAAATTAGTGTTAGTGAGAACATCACCCACACTTGGAAGTGCAATACCCACGTAGAGATTAAACTGCAGAGGACTTTGCCCATTTAACAGCTTAAAACAGACTGTGCCTTTGCGAGAAGGGCAGCATCATGACTTTGCATATCTTATGTGGGTTTTATGGTGTGTTAGCAGCTAAGCTTGCCATAAAAAAGGGAACCTTTATTTTTAAGAGCTTATAAAGCACATGCCTTGTAAGAGGCTGTATGCCTATCCAATTCCTTTAACCAACTTTTAGAGGTACACATGTAAATGCAGGTACCAGGCTTTTCCCACAAGTTCTGGGGCGCATCAGCAGCAACGTCTCAATCAGACCTCAGGAACCTAAATTTGCTTTTAGGCCTGGGTCACTGCAGCTAGGATCACTGCCAAATCCAGGTCTCAAGAAAACACAATACTTTTCACTTTTGGTTAGTCACCATCACTTCACACCAGCATTCCTCTTTTGATGTTTTGCTTGATTAGCCAGTTTTTGCAGAGCGCTATTTCCCCTCAGTGAGAGTTCTAGATAGCCTAACTAAGCTTTTTGTAGGGTTCTTCTGCATTCTGTGCTCAGCCGTCAGGGATGCTAAATTTAAGAGTAGGGAAACAGTAATTAAAAGTGATTAAGACAAGAACCCTTGATACTATGAAATGTGGACTCAGTTGTCCTTGACATAGGCAGAACCAGGCAGCAGGTTTTGGTTTTGATTATAGCTTTACTTGCGATTTTAATAAACATGAGCCAGCATTCAAACTTTTAATATCCTGCTGCTTAACTATTTCCAAAAAGCAATCCAGCTCTTTTAAACAGCCCTTGTTTAAAGATTTTAATTTGTTTGGCTCTGTCTCTGCTTAGAGAAGTTGCAGCCCCACGGTAACTCTTTTGTAAGTTCATTTCCAGAATCACAAGCAATCGTTTTTTTTCCGACTAAGTGTTTCCGCATGTGCCGAAAGTGTCAGGCTGACAGCTTTCCTGCCCCATTTTATCTGGTTCCCACAGCAAGTATGAGAGACAAACGCAGGAATGTGCCCAGTGCTGACTATGCCCATCAGGAATACAATGATACTTACAGCTCTTCCAGGAAGCGGAGCCCGTGCACGGAGTTGGAGGGCAGCTTAGTAATGTTGTTCATACTGAGATCACTGTAGGGGAAAACAGATAGAGACTTAATATGGCAAGCCACAACTGTGGTATCCAGCTGTTCATTCCACACATTTTTAAGTACTACATTAACAAAAACCCTCTGCCAGAATTGATGAATCATTATCTAGTTAGCACTTTAAACATTTCTCTTTCATATGAAAATAGCTTTGTCAAACAAAACACAGGATGTAGCACGTTCCTTTTTTTTTCCCGAAGATTTTGGAATATTTTATCACACTCTATAAATCATCTGTCCTTTTACTATATAATTTTAATGAACCATTGTACTGTATTAAAACTTATTTGTAGTGGTAAAAGAAAAATACTATTATTTTTTGTTGCTCCAGTGCCATACTACACTGTTGGTTCACTGAAGCAGGCAAGCAACAGTGTACATATATGAACTATCTACATCATTCCTTACATATCAAGAATATGGAAACACTTGACTTTTGCTGTACGCCACTGCATGGTGATATTGATTTTCCTTGCGTTACATGAGGCATTCCAAACGAAACTACTTATGTCAAAGAAATTATATATTTTCCAAATTATTCCAAATTTTCCAAATTATTTTCAAATAATCAACATCCCCTTTTTAGAGTGCTCTTTTTTTTTTTTTTTTCAGTTTCTCAAATTACATTAAATAGGTGAAATGAACCATAAAACAAGGGTGTAATGTGATCCTGCTCTGTAGCACACTTCCTGGTGGGGTTCCACAGTAGTTCCTGGCACAGGAAACAACCAGCCCTATCACCTCTGTCAGAGCTCATTCAAGCTACGGTTTAGACCGAGTTCCTTACAATACCTTTTTACTCTTCAGAAGTTTTTTGAATGTTTTTCCACTATTATCTCCATGCTCTACAGAACTGACTTGCACTAAGAATATAAACAGATTGCATAATAAAAGTCTGCATGGAAGATACAACTGTCTTGCAGCTACATCAGAAGTATGATAGATGTTAAAAATCAAGTATCTCAGACCTGCATATTATATGCAAATATTATGCAGCCAATTAAAAGAACTATTTAAACACATATATAATTGTAGTGGTATTCCTACACTCTAGCTACTTTGAGTGGTATTTGCATAATTTTATTTCTTCCAACTCTTAAGAGCTCTCAAGGCAAAGTAGTTATCTGTGTTACTGCTATTAACAGTCTCACATTACAGAATGTATGTTCTTAGTAAGCAATACTAATGTTGATGTTTGATATTCTGCTGAAATTTTAAAGTGTTTTAACATACTTCATGTAGAGATTTTAAAATAAAGGAAATGTGTTAATACTTTCAGGAATTATCAAATCACTGCTGGGTAAACTTTTCCTACATTAACTTCAAAATCAAGGCATAATTTGAGAACTGTGTACTTATTAAATTCACTCTTTACCGTAACATATTATCACCTAATTCTTTCATACAGTTAGCAGGTTATTACCCTTTCACTTTGATAAAGGCTCAAAGGATTTATTTTGGCAAAAGAACAAAAACATGAATGTATTTGCCAAATGAAAGATTCACCCATGTAGTGAGTCATATACTACTGAAAAGTAAAATACAAACGGCATTTTAACAACAGCATTTTAGTTATGGGATTTTCTACACATGCCTTAATGTTTTTTGTAAGCGTACTAAATGACACCTTGGACTCGAGCTAGCTGTGGTGCAGGAACAACTCATCTTCTAATAGGCACATATTCAGGGCATTTTACTAACACAGCATGAATAAGTACTCTGGCTGACCAGGAAAACCTGAGTCTAACTTTATGCCGTAAGGTTAATAGCAGACAATTCTGGTCTGTTTGTATCAAAGGGTCCTATGCCTCCCAACTTGTGAGTCACACCTGGTAACACCTGTCCTGAGCAATGCACAGAGCAGCCTTTCTCTGGTATCTGAGGAGGATCAGAAAAAGAAAAGGCAACTTTCATTGTCTGCTTTGGTTCACAGTAAGAAAGTCAGCCACACAGGTGCTTTCCTTAAAAACATCTTTAAGCCTCAGAGGTGGGTTTATTTACCAGCAGTGAACTCCAGACTCCTCTCCTCCCCTTGGGAGGGTCTATTCTTATGGTCAAGTATGTGCTCCACATGACACGACAGGGGAGAACCTCTCTCTTTCCCAAACTACACTGCAGTAGTTGCAAGCTCTGTTTAAAGACACCAGCTAAAGCTTTGCTGAAAAACACCAGCTAAATGATCCTACTCTCACTTTTCTGTACCGATCTGCATTGCAGTTGTTGGTAGTTCCACTTAAAAGACACCAACTAGATATAATCCCATTCTGTTAGATAGCTTCATTGTTTTGATTATTCTTGCAGTGTGATATATAAAGATATTTTTGTGCAATGAGACTGATACCTATGCATATATTCTATTATTTTAGTAGCTTTCTCATAAACCCAAATTATCTCCAGATTTGCTCAGTAATCCCTGTCCAGACAGTTTTTAACACACTAGCAGCTAATGCACATGCCATTGCATTATATATAGCAAATGAGTTATTCTTGCAGGTATCCTTCATCAATAACATAACCAAGACCACCATAGTGAGAGGCAATATCTTTTGACTAGACTGGCTGAAACAGTGGAAAAAAAAAAATGAGAGGCAAAAAAAACCCAAAACCACACACACACACACACACACACACACACACACACAAAACTCAGCTTCCAGGCTTAATACAAAATATTATCTATTTCTTCATAGAAACTTTACATTGTTTACAGTGGCAAAAGCTGTTCTTCATTTCCAGATTTAGATTCAAAATATTGTTTTGGGTCAGAATCATCATGCATGCATTTTATTCAAATTTGTTCACTGAAGGAACTATGGACTATGAATAAATGCTCTAAAGTGGAGTTTAGTTTGTGCATCTTATTTAGACTAATTCTGGTACTAACTGGTTCTAGAGGAACATGATTTCTTCCATCGCAACAGTATCCTTCACAAAAGTGGATCAAATGGGTTTTCTGTGGATTTCAGTTATTCACTCTTAGAAAGAGGAGAGGATGAAGGATGGCTTGCACATGAGGAGCAATGTGATGTTGAAGCAAATACTAAAATCAAGGTACTAGATCCTTAACCATCCTCATCCTCAGCAGAACTATTCTGATTTATACCAGGTCCATTCCCCAGTTTTCTTTGTGTGCTTTTACACTAATTAGAACCCCCAAAAGCTGAAATATTTCTTGTCAAATTTATAGAGTCTTACAAACCACATTGAAAACTACATTTTTGGATAAAGAAATAAATAAACTTTTAATTTTTGGAATGATAAAAAGCTTTTAATAAGTTAATGCAACATACCTATTTCTATATTCCACTATCAAAACACAAGCAAATCCTATTGATGTCTGTAGGAATTGCATTGGAAGAATGGATTTTGGGTTCGGAAACTGTTCCTAATGTAAACAGGTACACTATCACATCAAAACATATGAAAATGAAATGAACTTCGGTATTGTGCTGGAAAGGTGATGGGTTATTTTGAAGAGACAAACCTGTTGTCCCATCAGCATTTCCGCAGCCTGCTCCTGCTGCTCACTATAAAAGTAACGTATCAGCAAACTAAGCTTTTATCTTTTCAAAAGATACAAAGATTTGTTTGAATGACTGCATTGGCAATGCTGTTCATTAATGGTATCTTCACTATGTGCTAGTCAAGCACGAGGCTGTGTCTCTAGTGACTCGAGAAAGAAATCCTACCTGTGATGAAATCATAAACTTCTTTTATAGCAGATCATTTTTTGAAGAACGGACAATATTGCAAACTGCACCATATCTATGAGTTTCTGCCTGCTTCTTCTTGGTGACTGAGAATTTGCAAGACAGAATCCACTAAGGTAAATCACAGCACAGCTTCTGCCCCGCCGCCCCAATTTTGTTGTCATGCATTCACATGCTGAAAAAAATTATCCAGTTACCTTCTTGAAAGTGAGTAGTTCACAAAGAATTCTCCAAAGCCAGTAAAACGAGTTAAGTGAACTACTTTTTAACATATAATAGAAGAGTCTGGAGGCCAAGCTGCTAACCTGTTATTAGCTGTTATTGCAAGAGACGTTTCAGGGACTATTCATTTTGGAAGATCAGTCTTCCATGGTTTATTTAGACTTTTATAGGAGACCAAAATCTGTTCCGGGATATATGCAAGGCTCCTATTGGCTTCAACTAACTGATTCACTTATTTTTATTCACTTATCCTTATACTTCAAGCATACTGAGTGTTACAAACTTTTCCACACATCATAGGGCCAATATTAGAGGCAATGAATTTTGTAGATTTTTTTTTTTTTTAAACAGTTGTGACCTGATAGATTTTTAGAAAATGATCATGAATTAACCGTTGTGATTGGCAATTACATACCCTCTAGGCCTTCCTTAGCCCAACAGGATTATAAATAGGAGTACAAATGATTATTTTTATAGAAGTCTTTGAAAAACAAAACACTCGCATAAAAGTACAGACAATAGACTCAACACATTGAGTTCTTCCCAGTTCCTATCTAAGATGATTCTTTAATCTATTTGCAGCAAATCTGGACACTATGTAGCAATACCATATAATGAGAGGGGGCTCAAATGGGTAAAGCTGCTTCCTTTCTAGGCCTGTCTTTCAACACAGAACTCTTGGTTTTGCTGGCAGGAGAGCACTTCACCAGCTCCACTATAGATGGAGGAACATGCTACCTGTGCATATTGCTCATTAATATCAACACTCCACAGTGGATATGAAACATAACTTCCTCTTCTGTGGCTCTGTAAAGCACACAGATCTTACTTGCCAATATTAAAGCAGCAGATGCTAATTCTTACAACAAATTCTTGCAACTAAATTCCTACAGCACATTTTCATTGCCTTATTACACTGGAAGAATACATGGAACAATAATGACCATCCTTTTACAGAAGGGCAACTAAGACACCTAATGGTGAAGAGACATGTTCACAGTGCCAACGCAGATTATGGGCCAAGGAGGAACCAAACACTGAAGATGATTTG